TGGTAATCGGTAGCCAAAGACGTGTGAGGAGTGACTGTCACTAGAGTTGATCCGACTGTCACTTGGAGTTGATCCGCGAGGTTTGTATGTGTGGTAAAAGTGTGGTAAACACGTGCGAGCAGTGACTTTCACCAGGAGCTGATCCGTGCGGTTAAGAGACTGTGAGATGTGGTAAACGTTAGCCAAACGTGAGGTAAACACTACCGAAATGCAATGCAATCAGTGTTTGCGACAAATGTCTGCAACACATGTGCTCTCATAGCGCACGTGCTGTCACTCTGTTACAGTATTTGGTACTACATTAACACTCATTCATAAACAACATACCAGTGAATAGACGGTAAACACAGTGTACTCTCGCATTGATTTGTGTGTGTATTTAAATATAGGGGTTTGAATGTACGGTATATTTCGATGCGTTATATACTGATGTGATATACAAACAGAGATTTAGTGTAAAAATATCTCATAAACAGTGCTATCATGGGATCAAATGAAGTGATAATTAATCACAAAATCCGTGATTTATTCGCACAGTTCAGTGACCAGTGATATATCCATCGATACCACGTGTGTGTCCACCGACTCATCTCAAGATCACCATTGAATCCCAAGTGTTTGTCTCAATATTCACATCGCTTTTCAATCAATGGTTTTGTGTTTTTGAAAAACTAATTATCACTCAAATTGTCGCTTAATATGTGTTTCCCTTATATCTAGTCTTATGACACAATTAGTGGTAAATTACTGTCAAATCAATTGAATTATACATTATTTTTACTCATATTTTGTACACAAATATCACTACTTATTGATAACCTATTGATTAATCCAATTGCGAGTCATATATATATATATATATATATAATTATTTTATAATAATTAGCACTTAATTAGTGTTTATATTTACAATTAATACCTAGTACCTATTTATATGTGTTAATAGTTTAGGACTTTTTTGAATTATTGTTAAAAAAATATTTTTCACTCAAATACACGTTATTTTACACTCAGTTTTGACGTCAAAAAACAAATTAAATATCCATTTCTTACAACAAATAACTTGTATTTAAAAATACATTTTAAACCAATTTATGAATCAATAATTTGTGTTCAAAAATAGCATACAATATATAACTTAAGTATAGCTCAGTGTAAACGCATTTTGAAACAAAAATATGCCAATTATAAACAAATTCATTAGTATTATCCAAAAATAACTGTTAATTAAATCAATAAATTTGAGCCAAATTTTTGCTGATTATATGCAAAAGTGTTTAATGAATAAACTTTTTATTAGCGTTAGATTCAGTACTTCATAAGAATATATTCACAGAATATTCTGTAATATATTCTCTATATTCTGTATATCTTTGAACACAAATACTATACACACGTGACTGTGAATTATAAAAGTGAGAGTTAACTAGTAATTGAATTAATGTTTCATTGAATTCAATGTCAAATGTATTGAATGAATGCACAAAAATCATTGTCTCATAAAATAATCTGTAATAAAAACAATTATATTAACTACTTATTCATTACATTTATTACACACACATTGAGAATATCATAAATGATCTGTATCCCATTTAGAAATTATAATTAATTTTTTTTTGTAAAGTTATAACATATTAGGAATTAGTAATTAATTTTTGAAATTGTCATAAGTTTTGCCCATTTATTGTGTGATACGATTAGTGAAATATATACATTGTATTAAATATATAATACTTGAAAATAACTTTGTGTTAATTATACATTTTCTAATCATTTGGTGAATAAGTCACTGATAATTCACAAAATCCTTGTAAACTGTAAACTGTATAAACAATTATTGAACAAATTATTGTAATATACACTTGAAATTATATAATACATACCGTTATATATTGTACATAAACTTATTATACAAAGTATTTTATTTATATACAAGTTTTTTTAAAATACCATTTATTACATAACCATTACATGACATTATAGTTATATTCTCGACTAATGACTAGATTTATGTCTAAAACACGAGTCAAATACGTAAAAATCTCCATAATTATCGCCATTTCCCTTCTATTCGTATTCATATACTATGACAATCGAGAGGAACGGGTGTTTTTCGACGAGAACTACATCCAAATGGGTGGCTCCCAGTACACCGACAGGTCCTGTCATTTGCCGCTAAACGTGAATCCTTTCGACGAAAGTGTCGCCAAATATATAAAAGTGTTGCCAAAGAGTATTGAATGCAAGTATGAAACGGACCCCAAAAACGGGCTGACATTCGTCGACAGCGCCGGTACCCTACGCCAGAGTGTCGGCCATTATAAGTGCAAATATCAGTGGTTCGACAGATTGGTCGGTAATGACAACCAAATAGTGTATAAATCGTTGCGAGTGTTGGACCCGCGGAATGGTATACCAATGGGTGATAACAGCTTCGTGTGGACGGAGTGCGAAGACATGGCCGGCCGGAAGGTCTACGAAAACACGCACTTCTGGTTCCCGTTGACGGCTAACCCGAACGCCAGTGCCTCCAGTGATAGCACCGACAGGCCGTCGGTCCTAATACTAGTGATTGAATCGCTTTCGCGCGTAAATTACTTGCGATTTATGCCTCAAACGAGAGACACCATCGAGAAGTTAGGGAAAGTGGTGTACATGAAAGGGCTGACCAAACTGGCCGACAACTCCTTCCCAAATATGGTGCCGTTCCTCACGGGTAGGCGTGTCTGGCATAACGAGCTCCGGGACGAGGACTTCGGTCCGTACGACGACTGGCCGTTCGTCTGGAAGGACTTCTCGCGCGCCGGCTATAAGACGGCACTCATTGAGGACTTCCCGACGTTTACTCTGTTTAACTACGAGAGCAAAGGGTTCCGGGAGAAGCCGGTGGACTGGTATCCCAGACCCTATTGGATACACCTGTTCCGGGATGTGTCGAAAATACTGTTGGGTTTAATACCATTCGAGTTAAGCAACTGTTATATCGATCGCTACCCGAAAGTGGATCTGTTTTTACAGCAAATCAAGCACTTTATCACTGAATGCAATGCCAAACACTTCCCATACTTTGCGTTCAGTTTCTACATCGAAGTCACACACAATGACTTCAATAGAGCCCAACTCATCGATTCACACGTTTCCCAGTTTTTCCACCAAATGAGACATCAATTGAATAATACTATACTTGTGTTAATGGTATGGGCGGCGAGATAACTGACCCCCAGATTCACGCATTCATTGATTGTATGTTTTTTGTTTGACTGATAGGGAGATCACGGCAACCGATTCGGACCGGTATTGCAGACAGTGATCGGTAGGATTGAGGAGCGGATGCCGTTGTTTGGCGTCAGAATACCGGACCAATTGAGCCAAAGATATCCCCATTTGTTGGCAACACTCGAGTCTAATAGCGAGCGACTGATGACTTGGTTAGACTTACACCACTTGCTGGCGGACATCGCCTCTCGTACGTCATTCCTCCTATGATTTCGATAATTGTGTCCTAATTGTGATGATATCTCGCAGAGAAATACTCGCCAATGGATGGGACGGCGCCGGCGTCGGACGTCCGCTCGTACTCGCCGTGGAGGCAATCCATACCCCACTCGCGTACCTGTATGTCGGCCCTAATTCCCGACAATTACTGCGTTTGCGATAAACGAAAGCCAGTGAACGTGTCGGAGCCGGTCGTGAGGGTCGCCTCCCAGGCGCTCATTGCCCGTATCAACCGTTTCGTGCCTCAAGACAAGTGTCGCGAACTGACACTCGACTCATGCCTTTCCGCCGAAGTAATGATGAGTTGTTTTAATGATGTTTTGAGTGATTTTTGACTCATTTTTGTGGTCATCCCGCAGATCATCCTTCCGAGCAGTTCCACAGCGAAGCCAAAGGGCTTCGAGAGTCGCATCGAAGTCACCATTTCTGCCAAACCCTCGTCAGCCGTATTCAGGGCTCAACTCTCCCGTACCGCCCGTTCCCACGACTGGGCGGTGAAGGGAGAGATCAATCGGATCAACAAATATGGGAATCAATCGCATTGTGTCCGCGAGAGACAACTGAAGCCCTTTTGCTATTGTCGGGGACTATGAGTGCGAAACATATCTTAGTTTTTGAGTTTTGTTTCGTGTTTTTCATACGAAGTCATACGAAACCCAATGAACAAGACTTGAGGTTTAGTTTTATGACAATTACAGCGAATATATGATACAAATTGTGTGAACAACTGTAGGCTGACCCACTATTAGCCATACCTTTTGGGTTAACTAATGAATTAATTCATAAAAATAATACAAATTTATGATAATTTGTGAAACAAAAA